AAATATTTTGAGCTCAAAATCTGTAAATTTTGAAATCCTAATTTTGTCAGGTCAAACAACAAAATCCACAGCACAGAGCACAGCACACATTGGATCCATAGATAAAATTTATAGATTGGTAACAGGGATAGGCAATGTCAAATCACGTTCGGATTTAGGCGCCCATTCGTTTGGTGGCGCTGCTAGTCTCGTTTCTACGCGTAGGGAGTGTGCTGTGGTCAAATCAAAAGTTGAATTTGAATTTAGGAATTTAGACAAATACGGCGCCATATTTTTATTTGTTTTATTTTTTATAATTTATTTTATAGTTTAAATTTTTTTATATAATGTAGTGCAAAAAGGTAAATTTTAGACGATTTTTATTATGGAATCGAACACATTACATGGAATAACATACAGTGACGAAGAACTGAACAAAAAAGATGTATTCCAGATTGCATGGATACTAGGCAAGCACACTACCACTGGCAAGCAATACCGTTTTTCAAGTCCAGGAAATTTTAATATGGATATGTTTGATAAATGGGTGAATGCTGTTAAAAGCCCTAATTAGAGAATGCTGCAACAGAAACTATTTATAACAATTTTCGTGTATGCGCTAGTCAATTTTAAAGAGGATGATATAATTAATGTTGGACATACCGGTATTACGAGAACAGCCCTTCTGGTTTGTTTTTACCAGCACCAGGTAAGAAACTATTGTGCCAATATATGTATGTATGTGACCTTTTACTTATAAAATTAGTTAATTATAAATTTAACCTAATTATAAAATCAGACTTACTTGCTTACTATTTGAATTATTTTGTAGGTGGTGGTTCAACAACTATCTTAAAAAATCATCACCTTAGAGAGGGTTCGACATAATTTCTACAGGTGTGCCTGTTTCAAAGTTGGATTAGATTAGCAGACCATGACTACACATCATGGAGGAGGTCCCATGAGCTTGCGGTTAAGTGCGAGGAGGGATCTGTCTCTCTCTTGTGAGTGAGATTGGTCTTAGAGTACCATATATTACCATGGTTTGTCTCATCTATGTTACTTTTAATCAAAAGAACAACCTAAATCTAAATGTATTTAATATGTCTCTCAATAAATATATAAATTATTAGTAAAAAAGAGTTACTGGTAAGATAGAGTTTGGAAACGTAACTTTGTAAAATACTTCATATTATTATTGTAACTAGGTAATACTTTACATATTTTTTATTTTTAATGTTATTTTTCCATCTTTATAGTGCTGGATCTTAGAATCTTAGAGCTAACTGTTGGGTTTTATAGGTTTAAATATGACTAAAATATTATCATATAAATGTATATAAAGTTCTTTCTAGAAACTAAATCATTTAATTTTTCTGTTTCCAACTTAGCCAGAGTTCTTGAGTTCTGTTTTTCTGTGAGTAGAACGCCAGACAGTAAGAGTTCTCACTGACCACTGGTAGTGTGTGTTATGTTATTAGATTAGGATGTAAGTACTACAAAGAACTCAGAATGTCTGACAGCTGTCTGTTGCTTATTAGGCTTTAATTTGACATTAGAATTTTAAAACAATTATTTAATTACTGACAAGTTCTTGTCGCAAGATTTAGAACACTAAATTATACTACATTTACCCTTCCCTATTTGTGAACAAAATATTGCAACTATCTTGGTTTATTTTTAGCTCCAGCTGATTTACAGCTAGATTGAAAATATGAATTTTCCAATCTTAGTTCATAATTATCATCAGGTTTTTGAACAGGTAAATTTTCTGTCACATCTGGCATTGATTTAGTAGTGGAATTCTCTAATGTGTTATTTTGGACTTCATCTTCATCATTATCGTGATTCAATAATATAACAATTCAATAGTAAACTTCTTTATATAGTACAGAGCTCCTGGGTAAAGCAGTTTTTTCATTTAGTGATGTCTAAATATTTGGTTTTCAATGCTAGATTCACCAATTTCTATATAACTCATTGTATCTTTCAACTTAACCATTTCCTTCATGGTTATATGGTGTTGTTCTACTTGAAATATTCCTTTAGAGTGGAGATAATTAATAAATTCTTGTGAAGTAAAGCTAGTTCTCGTTGTCAGATTTTATATATGCCAGCATTCTATATAAACAAAATAGTGATTTAATCTGTGATTGGTTTGAATTGCTTTCCTACCAGATAATGTCTGCATTTTTTTTAATACTTCAATGCATGTTTTCATTCTGAATCTGTGAGAGTATGTGTGAAAAAAGCAATTGGTTTTCCCCATTGATTGCTTCGCTTATGTAATTATAGACTAAATTTATTACAAGCATGTACTTATTTTGTCTTCTAGGGATTTATCTTTAGATTCATTGCTTTCTATAAAAATCTTGAATGTTATATAAAAATGTTTGAATTCTTTGCAAATTTTGAGAATAAAATTGTAGTAAAAGGCCTTTTGCAGAATTAGGCTTCTATTTACATAAAACTTGACATACTAAGACAAAACAATTATTTAAATACTGACCAGTTCTTGCCACAACATTAAGAAAACTAAATTATAGTACACTTGGCTTGTATTATTAATATTTCTTGTAACACATATACATTTCTTGTAATATTTTTATAATAAAGATTTTATTTCTATACTTTATTCTTTAATTTTTTGACCACTTTGGCATTTTTATGTAATGTAAAATAAAATATAGTCTCAACATAACAAGAAAACCCAAATTAAGTATACGAAAAATATTTATTATCGTATTAGGATAAGGATTTTTCTTGTTATTTTAAGATTATATCGATTTTCCTTTACTTTAAAATGAGTTCACAATCCTAGGTAATATTACAAAAATTTTGAATTTCGCGCCATGTATTTATAGTTAGGCGCCCGGTCACTAGGTGATGCGCCAATCATTGTTTTACTCGTCAACACGGAAGTTTCAATGCTAGGTGGTAGTGTGCTATGATGGGATCTGAGATGGAGTAATTCTTCTTCTCTTCTCTTGGATTGTTGGTTTCGCTGCGAGATGATTTGCCAGCTCGGTTTGAGTGTAGCCTTAATTTGGTGCATATTTGGTGTAACCACAGAATAATAAACAAACAGAATACCCACTCTCCACGGAAAATTAAGTACGCGCATCTCCTCCGCGCAGACGTTCCGCCATGTTTTAGGAGGATTTTAAAGAAATTAGTGTCGTTATGTGGGTGTGCATGGAAAATTAACCAGGTTTATTTGACTTACGGCAATCATAGACATACTATACAATTATATTAACATTGTTAAATATAATATAATTAAACATAAATATAAACAATTACATAACCACACAAATCATATGTCTGTCTCCTCCTAAAACATGGCGAGCGTGCTGAAAAACTTCAAAGGCGGCATCTGAGAGTGGCCCTTCTGATTGTTTATTATTCTGTGGTGTAACTTTAAGCCATATCACAGAGTATTATTATTCTGTGGCCATGTCAAGGTATATTACTATATTTTCTAATTAGAATAAAGAAGTTTCAATTTGAATTGAGAACTAGCTTTTTACTTTGTATCATTTTAATCTTAATTATAATGGTTGTGGAGACGTGGAGACTTCACAGAGTCCACAGTGGAGTATTTGTCATAGGTAAAAAGGTTAGGTTAGGTTAGGTTATGGTATTTGTCAATTTGTCGTTTGTCGATGAGTATTTGGTGTCTATCATAGTGGTCTGTGATCATGTCCATGGACGTATAAACACGTCCATGATCGTGTCTATGCTGTGATTGGGATGAAGTTAGGAAATTCAGAATTCAGGTTATGTTATGTTGTGTTATGGCCGTTTTGTTTATTATTCTGTGGTCGTGTCATGTTTTTGTTTATGGACCATAATCATAAACAAAAACAGAGAAAGAGATCTGAATCAGATCAAACTGAAGTGCATGCCCCTACCACAGTATAAATAACAACTAAGTAGTTGTTGTCTTGTCTCTACTGTGCCTCTACATCTACTTCTAACCAAGCAGGAGCATCTACTCCGAACCAAGCAGAAGCATCTTCTAGCAAAGCAGAACCATCCACACAGAATATATTAGAGGATTCATTGACAGAAAATGAATCTCCTACCAAAGAATATAGACGCTTAAGAAGCATCTATATTGCTTCTATTATGTTTAAACAATCTTTTCATTTTAAAAAAATAAAAAAAACCTATTTAAGGAAGTTTAGGGATTCATGGTTGACACACTTTTCTTGGCTTAAATTAGAATCCACTACTGGCCAGAAAATTTGCAAGGTGTGCAATAAGTCAATTGAAGGAAGTAAAACACATTTAGAGAGACATCAACAAAATGGCTTTCACTAGAGGTAAGTGTTGTTTTTTTGAATATGTAAATACCATACATTAAAACACTTTTGTAAATATTTTAGGCAGTAGTAACCAGAGTTTTAGGGCAGTGGCAAGCACTGAAACTATTTTTTACTGGAGAAGCATTTGAGGAAAAAGATTTTGCAAGACCAAATAATATATTGGAGAAACTTAATGATCCTTTATATGAACTTACATTTTTATGAATGTAATCATAATATGAATGTTTCATTTTCATGAAACTGAACATCGAATTTCAGTCAGAGAAACCTAAGCTTCGCCTGTTGTTTGAAAGGATTACAACAGTATATAAAACCATATTAAAATTTTATTTAAAAAGTAGATATGTTGACTCCAATAGTAATGTACTCATGATTAATCCTATCAATGTGGATGAGTATTTACCAAATGAGGAAATTTACTTAGGAACAAAAGTTGAAATTATTATTAAGAACAGTTAATTAAATAACACACATTTGTTACCTTTTATAACAATTGTTTAAGATTTTATACTCAGCTTTGTTTTGCCAAATTCGTAAAAGATTTAAAAACCTCTCCAAATTTGATGAACCCTTAGGATTATTAAATCCAACTGAGCTATTAGAAAAGCCAATATCTCTAATAAGGCATAATTGATGAATTTCCCCAATTGGTAAATGGTAATATATAGAGGACATTTCTATTGAAGCCAG